CTTAAATATCTGCCACAACATAAGTAACCGGATCAAGTAACATTACGTACAGTCCGCTGCACTGTGAGTGCAGACTTCGATGTGTCCCATTATCATTCATATCACATCATAATGTATCATATATTTCCTTATCTGTGTCAGCTTCTTGAGCCCGAATGGTCTCAACCATATTGCATCAGTAACGTGCACTTGTTGTTACAGCAGGATCAGTTTGTGTGCTGTGGACACGACCCGTATATTTCCGCAAGCCGTGTTCTCAACATTTAGCATTTTGCTTATTATTTAATTTAATTTGCTTACTTCAACATACTTTTTCATGGTGGGGCTAAGGTGGGGCTAAGCCATTTCTTGGTATGGCTGTAGCCTACCCCAGCCATACCCTGCCGCCGTCACTGCGGGTAACTCAAACATATCCAGGGTATGTTGAACTGGATTCGTAATACAGGCCTCTGGTCACCTTATTCACAAACTAATTGGAGGTTTATTAAAAAGTTTGGCCAAAAAAATCTGATGGATTTATCTGTTATGTCTCAGAAAGAGCTTCAAATAGCATTCAAATACAAATAGGTGCATATCCACAAAACCCCTAAAACCCTGTCACCAATATTTACCGTTCTTCTGTTTTTAACTCATTATCAACATTCAGCAGACTTGATGTACTAGTGATAACATTTCCCTTCTCTTACCTCCATCCTCGCTGCAGGGTGAACAACTGTGTGGGGTTCGCCAACTACAAGTTCTTCATGCTGTTCTTGGCATATTCGCTCCTCTACTGCCTTTTTATAACCGCCACAGATCTTCAGTACTTCATCAAGTTTTGGCTGGTAAGTCTGGCAATACTACCACAACACAAAAGTGTTAGCACAAAATATGTCAAATCAAATCTGAATAAATCTGAAAGCATTCTATGTTGAATATGTTTATGCTATTGATTTCTTTTAACAAGGCTGGAGGTAGAGCACATTTCCGTCTGAGAGAGTATCGGGTATGGATCAACTAGTTAGTGGCACTGAAATAGAAACAGTTTAAAGGAATAATTCAACCACAAAATAACAAATTGTATATTGGTTACTCCCTCACTGTTACCTTGAAATAAAAGTTGTTTTACATGAATCCATGGTGAACAAAGAATACAAAAACTGAGACAAATCGTGATGGAAGTAAGTAAATGCAAATTAATACAAATCCAAGACTCAGCTGCCCAATCGCATGCTAACTACTTCCAAAACACATGTGTTTTCGCTAAAACAGGAAAGCATGTAACCCATTTTTTGGAAATGTCCAAAATGATAAGGCTTTATAGTAATTGCCTTTGATATGTTGTGTCATTTACCTTCACCGTTTTTGAATGTGTTCACCGTACAGGCATTGAAGTTTCCTTAAATTATTCAATGTAACATGGGGAGATTCATTTAACAAAAAAATAATGTTAGAGGTGAAGTATTCCTTTAATAAGCTCCTCAAGAACACCAGTAGAGTAGAAATCCCTTAGGTCCCACAGCCTCAAAGTGTCTGCTCTGTTGATGTTTTGGCTGTTACTCCCCCTCAGAACGGCCTCCCAGACACTCAAGCTAAGTTCCACATCCTGTTCCTCTTCTTCTCGGCCTCCACGTTCTCCGTCAGCCTGGCTTCTCTTCTGACCTACCACTGCTGGCTCGTCTGCAAGAACAGATCCACTCTGGGTAGGTGCTTCCTGCCTGCATCTGTGCTGTAATTATACGGCGTCTGTTTACTCTGTGTATCTGCTTTGTCTTTGCTCTGATGAAGATGGACGTCTTGTTGTGTTTTCCTCTCAGTCAGTCTCCATCCTTATCAGTCATTTGATGAGCCTGTGTTATCAAACAGCAGTTTCTCATTATGTGTGCACAGTGGCACTTTGTCCGTGTGTTTTGGAGATTGGATTATCCAGTGGAGTATGTTACAGTGTAATGCAAAGACACATGGCTCTGAGCAGTAAGCAGCTTAGTAACAGACACTGATATGGAGAGTCACACATGGTGGCACAGCGTCAGTTCTGTAAAACAAAGACACTTTCATTCACAGTTTGTTGCAGCCATTCAGCAGTTCATGAGTTTTCTGAATGAGCTCCTGCTAATAGTCTATATAAAGACTGAGAGGGAGTGCTGAATTAACCTATCTCCGTGTCAGACTCACTTTTCTCCTCCCTGTGTCCTCTCAGAGGCAGTACGTTCTCCGGTGTTTCGCCACGGCACCGATAAGAACGGCTTCAGTCTGGGCTTGAGTAAGAACTTCCGCCAGGTCTTTGGGGATGAAGTGAAGTACTGGCCAATTCCTATTTTCTCCGGGTAAGGTCCAATGGGCATTATATAAATAAAATGATATTCACAAAAAAACACCATAAGATTGAAGGAGATAGTTAGGATTATTTGGGGTAGGATTGTATTAGTTACCTATCCATAGTCAGTGTATTACGTGCAGTAGATGACAGTTTGGAGAAACGGACAGAAGTACCAGCACATTATAGTCTGCTATATTTACAATATTTACATATCTTTACCTTTCTGTCAGACCTTTTCTGACGGGGGACAGAAGCTGTTTTCTTTACTCCTTTTAAAGTCCTGCTTCCCCCATTCAAAGCAGCGCATTGCTTTACTACCTTCTGGTACTTTACTCCATTTCTGCTAACTGGCATTCTTACTGCCATCTGCTGTAGGTAATACTATGACTATGGATAAGCACCTCAAACAACCCCACTGATCCATCCCTTTAAGGAGGGTAAGCCAAATAAATCTGAAGCACGTGTTAATTATTTATAACTTATTTTGGAAGGTTGTTTGATAGTTAACTAAACCTGATGACTGACAAGTCTTGAGTCTGGACTGAAGGACAAGCCGGTCCAAAACGGCAAGAACCATTACTCCATGCAACTGTAGACAGTGTCAGTAAAACTGTTAAGCACATTATGTGGATATGAAAAGTTTATGAGTTATGTTATAATGCAAATTCAGTCTAGCATCACTATGCACAGCACTGGTACACATTGACTTTAGAGAAGTGTTGAACAAGGGGAGTCTTCAGCTCGGGGATCAGAGAGTGCTGTCACTTAGTCTGAAACAAAATGGTTCAAAAGAGGGAAAAGTCTCAGAGGAGACGTGTGAGCATTAGCTCCAGTAAACAACAACAACACCGCTGTGAATTCATGCTGAAGCTCCAGCTTTGACGATATCGCTAATTTATTCTGCCCGAGTGAATACTATTTCACATTTACAGCTTTTTGGCATTTGATGTCCAAACATTATCCCCTAATATAATTCCTAATAATTCATCTATAAAACTAAATATGTTGTTGTGAAGAACACATCAGATCCATAGACTGTATATATAATGGACGTAGTGTCTGTGACGTCACCCATACGTAGGTTTCTGCAGAGTTGCTGAGAAACCCCTAGTAGGTGGCAGTCGCGAGCCGTGACTTTTATACCTAGGTCCTCTGACCTACCCCTTCCATAGAAAAAAGAAGAGTTATTACATCACAGCGTATACTTCAGCGGAATATCAAAACTACGGCCCGGGGTGCAAAACGCATCAATGACAGCGACCCTCTACCACACAAAACAACACCATTTATATTAACACCTATCATGACAGGGCACCCACAGCCAAGTAACAATTAAAAATGAATTAAGTCGGCACGGCGGCCCACATTGAAAATGACTTAGGCCTACCTTTGATGATCAAATCACTTAAACACAAAGTCCATCCTCCTGTCCTTTTGGATGAAGCACTTGCGGGTCATTCAGCTGATTCTTTGCCACTCCAGTTTATCATTGTAACTCAATCTTGAAAATGACTCGGTTAATAATTTCGCAACGATGTCATCACTATCACTGACATGAGCCATCATGAATAAACTTATGCTAATCATAAATCTATAAATCTTTCGATCATAAATCTATCGATCATAAATCTATCGATTAGATTTAAGATTCGAAAATAATAAAAGTAGGGTAGACATATGTGGATATTATCCGGCTGAACAAAACGTGCATTTATCTAACATGTTCGTTTTCCACAGACCTTATTTCAAGCTATTTTCCAAAATCCTATGGAGAAATCCCATTGCTTTCTGTCGAGGGAATCCGAGCGCGGCTTACTTCCGGGTTTAAGGACGCGTCACTTCACCACTTGCATGCATAGACCTCACAGCGGGCGGAACTTGTCATAAATTCCGCGAAAATAAAGCCCGCCCATTTAGAGGGAAGATATGATTGGTCAATTGTACTGTCATTTGACATTACTCTCTCATTGAGTTACTATAGCGGGCCCTCTGTGAATCTACAGAGGGACCAACAAGCCCTCCCGTCTTCACAGTAACTCGCAGAGACGGCATTTAACCCTTCACATTCCAACAGAAACTTAACAGGCAGATTCGAAGGATTTATTTCTTTGGAAATGTTATTTTAAATACAATTTTAAATCAAGTTATTTTGGTAAAACTAATGACATTTTTTTTTAATGTTTTCAAATAATATTTTTTAGAATATCTTGACTTAGGCCCTCACAGAGGGCCTAGAGGGCCCTGACAGCTCGCCACTGTAATTGAACTAGTGTAAATACAATAGTGAGCATTTTGGCTTTCACTAGTTTATCTAGTGAACACTTTTGGCCTCACTAGTTAACCAGCAATGTTAAAAGACACCAAAAGTAGTGTGAGGTTAGTGACGAGTATGAATGTCACTAGTTCAACTACATTACATTACATTTGGCTGACGCTTATATCCAAAGTGTCTTACAATAAGTGCAATAAACCATGAGGATTCAAACTCAGAACAACAAGGAAAGTGCTGACACATTCACTAGTTAAACTCTGTTCTACTTTATTAACTATTGCTACTAGAATTTGTTTAGCCTCATTCGTTTTTAGTAAGGTAAAAATGGCTAAACATGTAAGTAGTTTACATTTTGCATAACTAGTTGACATGTTTTAGAAAGTGTGTTAAACTAGTCAATTAGTAAAATCAGGACACTCCCTCTAGTTACTTGTGAACTCTACTGCCTCCACTCGTACAACGAATGGAGGCAAATGCTGTTATGCTTAATCAGGTTTACTTATTTCTGCATGTTGCTTGCTGTATTGTGTATCATTCTCTTGCACTATTTTATTTGTATTTCTTTTGCACACTTTCTTTTGTTAATGGGCTTTGTTTCTAATGTTTTAAAAGTGAAAAGAAAAACGTATTTTGGAAAAGTCCAAAGGTTTTGAAATGTGTCCAACCCCAAGCAGTCATATTTAAAGCCTACATTTTACTTGCCACTCAATGTCAACTTTCAATCCCTGACAGTTTGCCCTCCATCCTTTTTGTTCAAATGCTAAAAACTCTATAATGAGATCACATGTGAACCTCAGATCTGATGAAGGCGTGTGATGAATTTGCACATTGTCTGAGAGAGAAAATGGAATATAACAATGCTTTGTCTGGAGCGCAGAGGGGTAAAGCCTGAGGTAGGTGTGTGTGTGTGTGTGTGTGTGTGTGTGTGTGTGTGTGTGTGTGTGTGTGTGTGTGTGTGTGTGTGTGTGTGTGTGTGTGTGTGTGTGTGTGTGTGTGTGTAATCACCCTTTGTGTTTCTGGATGTTTTGTCTCAGGGATCGGCAGGGCCACTGCTCTGGCTCTGGCACGCTGCGGGGCAAAGGTCACCACGGTAACACGCACACAGGCCGACCTCCACAGCCTGCTGCAGGAGGTACACCTTCTCTCACTGAGGAATATACCAGTTAAAACACTGTGCAATGACATCATCACAATGTGGCTTTTCATTTGGGTTTCATCATCTAAAACAGACTTTGGCTGTCGTTAGGCACCATCATGTTTAGTTCAGAATGAATCTATAATTAGTGCGAATGCTGTGCAATAGCATTCCACTATAGTTCTTCAAATCTTTAATCATCTTCTTCTTATTCGTGCGAATGCTATTTATAGCATTGTTTTTTATATCTTTTACACTTTTTGAGATATTTAACTTAGTTTGGAGCTTGGTAAAGAGGCTTTCTTCAGATTTTAACATGAGTGTGTATTGAGCAGCTCGTTAAGTCTAGAGTGCTTTGATTTCAAAACAGAGTGGAGGAGTGCTTGAAATTCGCCCACATTTGTTTTTAAAACTTGCCATAATTCCCAAACCCTACACTCCTG